CACCAGACAGCTAATTATCCAGATCCCATGAGACCACCGCAAGCCCCGCCTCAACAGTTTCACCCATTTTTCATTTCCTCAGAAGAAGGGCGGAATCGTATGTGTGTCGGTATATCAGTCCATTTCAGTTAGAGTGTTAGCAAAAGTGCAAAAAAAAACTCACAGAAACAAATGACAGAGACGAAATTTGAAAATTATGACAGCGCTGAAAAGTGAGCTTGGCTGTGGGAGCATGCTTTGTAAAGGTGCAGTAATCGACTTAATTTGAAAAGTGTCCGACGTGGTTTAGAAGGTGTCCAGTTCTGTTTGAAAAGAGTCCGATCTAGTCTAGATCTAGAAAATTGTCTGATTGGAAGAGGCGAACTGTACACTCACCCGAATCCTGGTAAGAAGTCAATGGGCGTGCAGCCCGGCGTGCCACGTTCTCAAATCAAAAGTGCTCGGGATGCAGGCTGGAGTACTGGTGCCCGGGTGCTGCTTGGGGCTCCGCCCGCGTTATCTTCAAGGTGCAGCACTTGCGTCGACAGTAGGATACAGAACAACCAGAAATAAGAGGGTTCAGATAAGTAGTATGCATTTGGCCATGCTTGGTGTTGGTTCAGCAGCACGGTTGGAGTATGCAGAACTACATTTCATCCCCGTTCTCGTGCTCTTTTGATCGAAACAGCACACCACTGCAGTTGCACACCCCATTACTTCATACACGGCAAGAGTGAGGATCCACGGACTGAATGTCCAATTTGTCTTCAGCTGGCGAATGGTTTGTAAGCCCCGAACTCATCACCACATATCGAACCGCAATACTGACTAGTGGCGGTCGCGCAGTTGGTAATTATAGTTTGTAACATTGCAATTTGTCGGGGGCGGCGAGCGCAGCGCGGCACGAGCTCGCGTCCGGCTGCCTTGCTCTACCAATGGTGATCGAGCAATGATCGATGTAGGAAGGAATCAGCCACTGGTGGGAAGGCCGCAGGTGGGAACCGCTGATTGCGACCCGACAGTCCGCAATGATGAGGACTGTAAATCACTATATTCGAGTGATACCTACTTGCTTTCCCTCAAAATTTGCAGAAAAAAGCGAATGCATGGTGCTTTCTTTCTTGTTCATCGATTACACAAAATATTGCTTTCTGATGTCGACAAGCTCGGCCTTTGCTGTTGCTTTCGAGGATTTCAAAGCCAGATGAGATTAAACTGTAAGAGGAAGTGAATGTTGGTGTTTGATTATCTCAGTATAAGGAGAAGCTAATGCTGGTGTTTGACGCGCGGTTGGATCTAGGCGTTGAGGCCATCCGAATCCAAGATTGGCGAGTCCTGTCTCCCTCATGTTATATCCCAGTTTTCTTGTGTCAGCATTTGATGTATGACGTGTGATGCGAGTGGTATTGCTTTTTCCCTTGAATGACGTGCCAATCTAATGAAATCCTCAGGAGATGACGACATCAAACAACACTATAGGCAAAGCCGACTGTGGACTTACTCGGAATACTGGAAAAATTCTAGAGAAATTCACAATCGGGCAAGAATCCTTTGCAATATCGTTACTAAGGCGGACATTGGTAACAGGTGATCCACCTTCTGCTGGATGGCGTACCTTGAAATTATTACGTTCTCCCTCACTCAGCTTGAAGCCGGGATAGTATCCGAGGCTTAGGACCTGACTAGCTGGACAAGAAAAATCAAAAATGATTAGTTGCGCGGTTCAAATACTAACGACAAGATGTTACATGACTCAGAAAAGAAGAGAGAAGCACAAACCAGCCCAAAATGCCTCATGTAGAACCCCATGCTGAACATTGTCTGTACGTGCATAAGGCGAAGAGAAGGCGTGGTCGGACGAGTTTTCACTTGCTGATATCAGTTCTTTTGGCGTAGTTTAGCCTGCGGAGGCATCTTGCATTTTTGCTGCTTCCCACTGTCGGGTTGAGCTATCAACTAGAGACTTGTTTAATCTTCTGAAAGTATGAAGTGGTACCAGTCGAAGATGTAAATTGCTCGTCGTTTCCAGTAAATAGTATTTGTCAAGTCTTGTAAGACAACGAGAAGCAGCGAAAGTGCAAAATAACTCCCCCCCCCTCTAGTAGTGTACC